GCTGACCCAGAGGACAGACGTCAATCTTCCTATCGGATCCCAAAGGGACACAACACTCAAGTTGACAGGCATTGCACAGGGTGGGAACAAGAATGGAATGATATACGGCGAGGTTGGGTGGAAGTCCAGCAGGGCTAACGTGGCCTGCTGTCCACACTCCCCTCAGGCTTCTGTTCCCTCAATATCATGAAGCTGTGTTCATACCAGCATTGGATCTCCAGCTCCCCCTGCTCTCCAGGGATTCTTACGTAAACCAATGAAACAGCCTGAAAAGGAGTAGAACACTTAGAACTGCTTAGGGCACCATGATGGTGGCAAAAGAAAAAAATTTGGGCCAGGTACGTTGGCTCACACCTGTGATTCTAGCACTTTGGGAGGCTGAGAAGGGCAGATGACTTGAGCCCATGAGTTCCAGACCAGCCTGGGCAACACAGACCTCATCTCTACTAAAATTCGAAAATAGCCGGCAGTGGTGGCATACGCCTGTAGTCCCAGCATTGGGAGGCAGAGGAGGGAAGATCGCTTGAGCCCAGGAAGTTGGGGCTGCAGTGAGCCCTGACTGCGTCACTGCACTCCAGCCTGGTGTGACAGAGTGAGACCCTATCTCAAAAAAGAAAAAAATTGATTTGGAGACCCCCCTGCCCAATCCCAAAATACCAACTCTCTGCCTGTTCATCCTAAAGAAAAGTCGGCCAGTAGACAATCACTCTTCGTGAGCACCCAGTCAGTGTTTTGCTATTCATGGAAGAGACCCATCCAGAAAACAAACTCACATATACAGCAGTAGAAGAAACCCACACCAGCTGTGATACTGTGATGGTTAATTTTCAGTGTCAACTTGACTGGAGTAAAGGATACCTAGGTAACTAGCAGAGCATTATTTCTGGGTGTGACAGCAAGGGTTTTCTGGAAGAGACTGGTGTGTGTGTTGGTGGACTGAGTGGTGATCTGTTCTCAATGTGGGCAGTTACCATTGGATTGGCTGGGGGCCCGGAAGGAACAAAAAGGCGAGGAAGGGTGAATTCTTGCTCTGTTCTGGAGCCAGGACACCCTTCTACTCCAGCCCTTGGACCTCAGAACTCCAGGTTCTCTGACTTTTAGATTCCAGGGCTCTTACCATAGTCCCTGGGGCTCTCAGAGGCTAATTAGGCCCAGTCAGATTTCCACTTAACCCTGCCATGTATCATAAACAGAGGCCCTCAGACTGGTAGTTAACACTGTTGTTTTTTCCTGGCTCTGAGGCTTTTGGATTTGGACTGAGCCACTCTAGCAGCTTCCCTGGTTCTCCAGCTTGCAGACGGCCTACTCAGTCTCCATAATCATGTGAGCCAATTACCCAGTAAATCCCCTCTCACATATCTCTCTCTATATATATACCCTACTGATTTTGTCTCTCTGGGGAACCCTAATATACCAACTATACAGAAAAATCCACTGAGGACCAATGTACATTTTAAACCAGCAAGTGAATCTCTTTATACAGGTCAAGGAGACCATAGTACAAAAGGTGAAGAGCAATACCTACTGTTAGAACAACTGGCCCTGGAAGAAGCACAGAGAATTCAGGGAAGAGAACTGTGATTTGTATCTGCAGAGAAACTTGAGAAACAATGGCATCCATAAAGCAAGAACAGGATGCTAGGAGATAAGGAACAATCACAGAACAAGACGGTTTTTAGGCACAAGGTCTCTGTCACAGGCAGCTGCAATGATGGCAGTTACTAGAAGTCCAGAAACAGGTTTTGGTTCCATCCCTGTTACCATACCCAAGTCCCTTCATCTCTCAGAGCCTTGCTTTTTAAAAATTTTAAACTCTTAAGCTCCTATCTCATTCCAAGGTAGACTGCATGAGGGTCTCTCTTCCTGGAAGCCCTGTCCTTTGCCCTCTCTCCTTAGCACAGTCTTTGTCTTGTCTACCCAGGAAGGCAGAGCAACGTGCTCTGACTGCAACTGTCCCCACCATGGACATGGTGTTAGATCCACTGCAAAGGCCTTTCTCATCTGGGGTCTCATGTGAGCCCCACAGAAGCCCTGTGAATTAGTCAAGGATCATCTGCCCCATTTAATAACTGCAGAATCCCGGCTGGATGCGGTGGTTCACACCTGTAATCCCAACATTTGGGAGACGGAGGCAGGCAGATCACTTGAAGTCAGGAGTTTGAGACCAGCCTGGACAACATGATGAAACCCTGTCTCGATTAAAACTCCCAGGTATGGTGGCGGGTGCCTGTAGTCCCAGCTACTTAGGTTGCAGTGAGCTGAGATTGTGCCACTGCACTCCAACCTGGTCGACAGAGCAAGACCCTGTCTCAGAAAATAAATAGATAAATAAAATAGACGCCGAAACTAAGGCTCAAAGAGGTTATGTGACACCCCCTAAGTCACACTGTTAGGATTGGCACAGGAATTTGCCCCAAGTTTCTGGTTCTCACTCTGGTGCCCTCCTTTTCCCACCTCCTGAACTCATACACTGACATTCACAAGCTGTCCATGCTATTCTCATTTAAGAACTTCTTACTCAGGTTGAGGCCTAGGTAATACTCACAGTAATCACAGGTTCTTGTTTGACTTTATATCCTTCTGGAAAGGGAGGCTGCTCAGCTTCACACTCTAAAGGAAAAGGGAAAAAAATCCTTAATTCCATATTTCACTATAGTTTCTGGTATAATTTCCTTTTCTGAATAAAACATTCTTAAATCTTATTTTGGCTGGTGGTGTACAGAAATGAAAAACCAACTAGCCATGACAGGTTAACATTTAATGTAATTTAAAGTTAACATTTAATGATATTTAAAGTCGGTAAGAGGCCGGGTGCAGTATCTCATGCCTGTAATCCCAGCACTCCGGGAGGCTGAAGCGGGAGGATCACCTGAGGTCAGGAGTTCGAGACCAGCCTGGCCAACATGGTGAAACCCTGTCTCTACTAAAAATACAAAAATTGGGCCGGGCATGGTGGCTCACGCATGTAATCCCAGCACTTTGGGAGGTGGAGGCAGGCGGATCACCTGAGGTTGGGAATTTGAGACCAGCCTGGCCAACATGGAGAATCCCTGTCTCTACTAAAAATACAAAATTTGCCAGCTGTGGTGGTGCATGCCTGTAATCCCAGCTACTCGGGAGGCTGAGGCAGGAGAATCACTTGAACTTGGGAGGCGGGGGTTGCAGAGAGCCAAGATCGCGCCATTGCACTCCAGCCTGGGCGACAAGAGTGAAACTCCATCTCAAAAATAAATAAATAAATAAATACAAAAATTAGCTGGGCATGATGGCGGGTGCCTATAGTTCTGGCTACTCAGGAGGCTGAGGCAGGAAAATTACTTGAACCCGGGAGGCAGAGGTTGCAGTGAGCCGAGATTTCACCACTGCATTCCAGCCTGGGAACAGAGTGAGACTCCATCTCTAAATAAATAAATTTAAAAATGAAGTTGGTAAGAGATGGTTGGCTTCTCAAATGAAAGAGTTGAGGCTTTATGTAAGAGTCTGAGGCTGTTTCCTGAGGACACAACTTCAGGTTTTGACAATACGATGGAAAGGAATTAAGGGAGGAAGAGAACGTGGAGGTTGGTAAATGTAAGACACTGAGCACACGCAGAGGACAGGCTAACACAAAGAGTTTCACAGGGTTGCAACAGCTAGGATTGAGAGAGGAACAGAAAATGCTCATGGCCTGCATTCGTTACATCTCTAAAGCAAACACTGATAAAAATATTTCTGGAAAGGTCAGTGCTGTCAAGGCAATTGCAGAGTCACTTGCGGTCATGAGGAAAAATTAATTTATGGGCAAGACGGTATGGATGGCATACAGTCATATGGACACGAGTTTTATTTGATTCCCTAGTTACTTGCAGACAGTACAGCATTTCCTCCGCTTCTCAATTTTTTTTTAACTCCTAAGCATCAGCTGGGGACAAGTATGTCAGGTTGCAGATTATAAGCAATTTATTTCTCAATACCAACTCTATTTGTTTCTTATTGTTGTGTAGCAAATTAGCACAACTTATCAACTTACAGGAACATGAATTTATTAACTCACAATTCCCTTGAGTCAAGAGTCTAAGAATGGATCAGGGCTTTACTAGGCTGAATTCAGGGTATCACAGCCAAAGCTATAATCTTTGAGGGTTGGGATCTTTTCCCAGGCTTATTGGTTGTTGAATTTTAGTTTCTTGGCCGGGCACAGTGGCTCACACCTGTAATTCCAGCACTTTGGGAGGCCGAGGTGGGTGGATCACCTGAGGTCAGGTGTTTGAGACCAGACTGGTCAACATGGTGAAAACCCATCTCTACTAAAAATACAAAAGTTAGCTGGGCGTGGTGGTGTATGCCTGTAATCCCAGCTACTCAAGAGACTGAGCCACAAGAATCACTTGAACCCGGGAGGTGGAGGTTGCAGTGAGCCAAGATCTCACCATTGCACTCCAGCCTGGGTGACACAATGAGACTCTGTCTCAAAAAAAATAAAAAAAGAATTTTAGTTTCTTGTGGTTGAGGTCTCAGGTCCTTGCTATCTTGTGGTTGTCAGCTGGGGACCCTCTCAGCTCTTAGAAGGCACTCTCAGGTTCTTGCCATGGGTAATGCACAACTTGGATGCTGCTACTTCAAGGGCAACAGGAGAATCTGCTCTGCTTGAATCTCTGACTTCTGACTTCTTTTAATGGCTCACTTGTTAGGTCAGGCCCGCCTACAATAATCTCCCTAATTTAAAACCAGCTAGTTAAAAGCTTTAAACATATCTGGAAAACAGTATGTCATGCCTAGATTAGTGTTTGATTGAATAACTGAGGTGTGTGCATAGGTGGCAAGAATCTTGGGGGCGATCTTAGAATTCTGCCTATCATACCAGCCTCAGCTCTACCACATTTTTTCCTCTCAGGCATGCATGTAAATTCACCCTTCTTCTCCAGCTGCCTTGGGAACCACTGATACAGTGTGAAAACTGCTTATTTGGGTTTAAAATGTAAACAATTATTTTCTTTCTGATTAAAAAAGCAAGACATACTTACTGAAAGGAAATTTCAAATAACACAGGGATGTCTTACGTAGAGTGTAAAAGACACACCTAATCCTGTTGCAACCCTAAAGCCATTGTTAGATATGGAATAGATCCAACCAAATTTTTTTTTTTTTTTTTTGAGATGGAGTCTTGCTCTGTCACCCAGGGTGGAGTGCAGTGGTGCAATCTTGGCTCACTGCAACCTCCGTCTCCCGGGTTCAAGTGATTCTTGTGCCTCAGCCTCCCAAGTAGCTGGGATTACATGCACCCACCGTCATGCCTGGCTAATTTTTGTATTTTTAGTAAAGATGGGGTTTCACCATGTTGGCCAGGCTGGTCTCGAACTCCTGACCTCAAGTGATCCGCCTGCCTCGGCCTCCCAAAGTGCTGGGATTACAGGCTTGAGCCACCACGTCTGGCCATTAATGACTATCTTTTCTGATAGATTATATGTTTTGGGAGGGAAATACCCAGATCTGTTTGTCTCACCATTATTTCCCCACAGAATACTTGCAGAATGAATGAATGGATGGATGAACAGAAGAAACCATATCGTAAGTTACTTCTGATGTCTTATTCATTCATTTATATTTATTGTAAGCCCATCACCTGCCGTGAACGATTCTAGGTGTTAAATATGGGTCTCCTTTCAATGCTGCTACATACGGATGTGTCACATTTATTTAACCAGTATATTCTTAATGGGCATTTGGGTTATTTACAGTACTTTATTATTATAAACAATGTTTCAAAGAACATTTTTATACAAATACCATTGATCCATAAAGAGGCATTTTGGTATAATTAATTCTTAGATGTGGAATTTTTTCTATCAAAGGAAAAAATAATTTAAAATTTGGGCCAAATTGCCAAACTTTTCTCCAAAAAGTTTATAACCATTCGTACTCCTAATAGTGGCACTGCCTGTTTCTCTAATCAATGTTATACATTAAAAGTTTTTCAACACCTGTAAAAGAAAAAAATGCTGTTTTGCTTTTATTTGCATTTCTTTATTACTTGTTACTATATTTTTTCCAGTGAAATCTCTCAGGAGTTCACTTTAATGGAAAAGATACAAATTTCTTCATCATATGATCACAAAAGACATACAGTGAAATGATTATGTGTAAGTATCAAATATGGGAAAATACTTTGCTTTCAAGACAATTGTATTTGTTACTTAAAACCTCTGTAACTTTGAGAGATTGTAACATATTTGATAATGTCAGTTTTCCCTGTGATTTCAGTCTGAAACGTGATTACAGGCTGATGCTTTTACATTGAAAGGCATAAAAGAATTTAAGTTTGTGGAGTACTGAACTCTTTAAAACCACTTGATTTACCATAGTTTAATTAATTCAATTTACAAAAGTTGTTTCGGTGCTTAGAAAAATGTGCTTATTTGCTCAGTTCTGCATTAGAAATGCTTAAGAAAATCAGGGGCCAGGTGTGGATTACAGGCTCACACCTGTAATCCCAACACTTTGGGAAGCCAAAGTGGGCAGATTTTTGGAGCCTAGGAGTTCAAGACCAGCCTGGGCAACATGGTGAAACCCTGTCTCTACAACAAATATAAAAATTAGCTGGGTATAGTGGAGCATGCCTGTAATCCCAGCTACTTGGGAGGCTTAGGTGGGAGGATCACCTGAGCCTGGGAGGCTGAGGCTATAGCAAGCCACGATCACACCACTGCACTCCAGCCTGAGTGACAGCCTGTTTCAAAAAAAAAAAAAAAAAAAAAAATTTTAATTGTGTATATTAAATGTATAAATGTTTACAATCTTTCAATTACCAACAGTTATAAATGACATTAGTTCATTAGGGGAATTTAATGTTATATGCATATTAAATGAACCTTATGAACAAGTGAAAGTGGTTGCTCATTTTATGTAACAAAAGCAACATTTTAGGAGAAGCAGAGCAGAAAGAGTCTGGAATCTTGTTGGCAGAGTGGAGCCCTTGTACCACAATTGAACCCTCTCCCCTTGCACTTCGGGGATGGGAGAATAATTAAACATCTTCGTTTAGGCCATTATGAGTTGGGTTTTCTGCTATTTGCAGCTGAACGTGTTCCTGATGAATTAAAATGTAGCTTTGACCCACAGTAGCCTACTAGAAGGGGATGGAGCAGAAAGGTGATGCTGGAAGTTAATCAGATGAATATTTGGCAGGCATCTACTATGGCGGCAGGATGTACAAGGTTGCTGGAGAGCCAGGTGAACAGGACAGAGGAGCTCACGTTCCGGAGAGGAGATGAATGATAAACCAGGGGTTATGAGATGTGGAAGTGCTGCCGCAGAGGGCTTCAACCACAGCCCAGAGGAGGGGAAAGAAGAGGCTCCGAAATTGGCCTGAGGAGTTACAGAAGGCTTTCTAGAAGAGGGGCCACCTGGGTTGAGTCTTCAGAGAGAGAGATGAGAAGGTAAGGATATTCCAGGAAGAGGCAAAGCTTGTGCAAAGGCATGGAGGAGAGGAACAGTACGGTGCACTGGAGGAATGGTTTTGTGTGACTCCATGTACATAGTACACAACAGTGGTACCGAAGTGCTTATTTATTAAAACCCAGAGCTCACGGACTCACCACCAAGGAGTCTGGCCCATCAGGCCAGGGAGGACA